CTCGTGTAGCTTTGCGCGAAATTCAAAATACAAACAAACAAAGATTATAATGCAATATTCACCAGTTAGTTACTCTCGCTGATAGCGGTGTTTTCGACCGTAAACCCACTTATATTTCAAACGTATTTGCTAGTTATAACACTTCTCAAATATACACCTTAAGTTCCCCAGTAATCTTTTGTTGATGCTATCAAGCTTCATTTCTGAATAAGTGCAAAAACTTCGTACCAAACGATTCTTAGCTTAAAAAAAAAGAAGAAGCTAGAATCCGGGTTTCGATACCCGTGGTGGGCAGAGCACAGATAGCCCATTGTGTAGTTTTGTGCTTAATTGCAAACAAACAAGCTTTAAAAAACTAAACTTAATAAACGTTTGAAACAAATGTAGAATGTGCTTATTTATGTCTGTTAAAATATGTTTTCAACTCTATAAAGTGACAATTCACTCAACTCACTATTATATATATATATATATGTATATTTAGGAAATTTTTCATCACATAAAACCTTGAAAGTTTGCTAACAATTAAAACACGTGAGGAAAGTAGCTATAAGGATTGTTTGTTTGTTTGTTTCAAGGGTTCTCGGAAAGGTAGTGAAAAATGACGATTAAAATGGATGTTTCTATTTTAAAGAAGATAATTACTAGAAAAGGACTACATAAATGAAAAATTAAGTGTGTAAACGTTTTCATAAAATTCTCAGTCAATAAAAATCCAGTAATTTCACTGCATAGTTCCTCTTCTCATCTGTCAACGGCTGAAGTGTATTCGTATTTCCTATTCTTTACGTATTACAATTTCAAATAGCCTAAAACTGAGTTAAACTGTAATTTAGATTTAGTAGTTAAATAAACGCCGATACATATCCAATTTGTGATATTTGCCAACAAGATTGATACACACGGTTTTCTTTTTTTTTCATACAAATATACAAACAACAATACAATTTACAATAATAGTTATTACAAACAATGATTTATATACAAAATATTTACAAACTTACAAACAATGTAAAGTATTTTTTTCTGGTCTGGAACTTCCTTGATGTCTTA